TATTGCGGATCCACGACAAAATGGCACCGTCGTGTACGCGCATGCGCACTGTTCGATCTTCGGGAAGATGGCCGTGGCTAACTGCGCACGCGCCGTCTTCCCCTATATAAACCATTGACGTCGGTCACGCCTCTGTACAGCCTCCCCTCTGATGATGTGCCTGTAGCACGAAAGGCCTAAGGAGGAGCTGTGCAGAGCGTGATGTCATTTCACCGCCGGAGCCACGAGGAGGCCCGGCGGCCATCTTTGTTAGGGTCAGTACTGCAATTTCTTACTAACAAGTTCTGTGACATGCATACTGCCCTGTTTTATCAATAAATATTATTTGGGAACATACTACACTATCTCTGGCACCTGTTTTTGGGGCTCCTATGTGGAGCTATTACCCCCACAGAGAAGGTGCCTTCACCATCCAGAGGAGGGAGCATTGCCATTAAATTGGATTACCTGACTGACCTTAAGGGGATCTCTGGACCTGAGCTGGAGCTCTCATCATACCTGATGACCCACCTTGAGATGGATGCCCACCATCTGGCCTTTGGCAGATCTAACATCTAGGATGATAATTCCTACATGTGCATAATCCATGCGTTTCTGGTGAGTGCGCATTGCTGTTATTTGAGGCAGTAGAGCTCTGGAATTTTACATCTTTCTAGAGAGCACCGTGGATATTTGATTGACTTTTTAATTTGCTGCATTTTGTCTATTTTTAGTGCTGCACTGTGTTATTTACGCTTATATCTATATTTTAAAGGTACTGTGGTTGCCTTTAGTGTTCTAGCTGCTATACTTCTATAAGAGCGCTCACTACTACTTGCTTCTTACTGGTAATTCTCATTGCTCCGAATTGGCTCAGAAAAATGTGATATATAGACATACTCAGGCTCCTTGTGAACAAACCTCGTTTTCTTTGAAACGGGCGAGATTTACTGGCTCAAGGTCCCCTATTCCACCCGGCTTATTACTGGCTTTAATGGCATGACTGAAAAAAACTCAGGTCATGGAGAATAGGGGTATATCTAGTTCAGACATCCTCACCTTGCTCAGAGTAAGAAAATTTACCTCAAACAAGATCTACCTGTGCACAGGGAGGGCCTACTTTGCATTCTGAGTTCCAGAGAATACTCTGGGGGTTTTTTTTGGCCTTTCTTCAATATAGTCTTTACCAGTGTCTAGCCCCAATTACCCTCATGGGAGAGGTTTCAGCCTTATCCGTTCTTTGCAGGAAACTTCAATCCTTAATCAAGATTTTTCTTCAGGGAGTTGTTCATATTAAAGCAGAGCTCCACCCAAAAGGGGAAGTTCCACTTTAAGAACTGGTCCACCGTTAAGGATTGGCACCTTTTGGGTGGGGGGGGGGAGCGGGTACCCGAAATTGACAGGTGCCCGCTCCCACTTCTGCTGCGATCGCCTAGGCAATCGAAAACAGAAGATGTGCCCCCGTCCCTCCCCATAGTCTTCTGGGACACGTGACAGATCCCAGAAGACTACGGGATCAGTCAGAAAGTGCAGCACTACTCGCACATGCACTGTGGGCACCCAGCTGTCAAGCTGCAAGCTGTAACAGCCGGATGCCCACACTGAAGATGTCAGTACCGGGAACACAGGATGGCCAGTGAAATGGGGGGGAGGGGCACCGTGGGATCGAGGGACAGGTGAGTGGCTGTATTTTAAGTCAGCAGCTACAGTTTTTGTAGCTGCAGACTTATTTTTTTACATTTTTCACTGGAACTCCACTTTGCTCTCTTTATTCAACCTCCTGTGTCACATTGGGATCTGAACCTGTTGCTCTCTGTATGCCAAAGACTCTCCCTTCCTTTGAGTCATTCAGTGATATCACTTTGCGAGACCCCACAAATAAGGTTACCTTCCGAGTGGCTATTATGTATGTTATGTGTGTTTTCTGATACTTTTCTTGTGAGAAACTTTTTTGTACCACATGGGGACAAGGTGATCTTGAAACTCAAGACCTTTTCTACTTAACCTCCCTGGCGGTATGATTATTTCAGATTTTTGGCGCTGAAAGCGGTACCATTTTTTTGCATGGAAATATGTATTTTTTTTATTGTAGGCTGTAATTTTTAGGAAAAACACACTGAAATCTGTCCAAACAAGAGTCTAGTAAACATCCCGGGTATGATAAAATATGAAACACAAAATCATAAATTATAATTTAATAAATAATCATAAAAATAATATAAAAATAATAAAAAATTTAATTCAATAATGTAATCAAACCAAAACACTGAAATGTGAAATAGAGCGCCAAGTTCGCACATTGCTGAGCTCAGTCACAAAATCGTTTTCAGTTTCTGATGACGAATTTCCCCCACGAATCATTATCACTCAATTCTGCAAGTGGTTCTGATTTACTATCGCTGTTCTCTAGCTGATCTAAACCGCTTTTGACCTAAAGGGACACTTTTTGGACGCCATGGACATTTCTCAGTTTCCAGACAGAAAGAACAGACAAAATGCAGGCAGGGCGCCGGACAAAGCACTAGGGACAATATGTATGTGAAATAGGTTGAAACAGCAATGTTTTACTGTGTAAAATGTAAAAAAAAAAAAATGACATTTTTAAAAATTTTTAAATTTCCCGCCGGCGGCGGCGGCGCCCGTACGTCCCGACGTCACAGGGACAGGACACAGAAGCCGGATGCCGGCATCGGCCGGAGGAGATGGCCGGGGACGCTGCAGGGGACACATCGTGGGAGCGCAGGGTAAGGTAAGGTAAGTGAAGAACACTTGCCGGAGCAGTGCCTCAGGGTAAGCCCGAGTGTAGCTCGGGGTTACCGCTTTTGGTACTGAAATTTTACCCCGAGCTACACTCGGGAATACCGTCAGGGAGGTTAAAGTGTTTCTAAACCAAGGACCCTGCATTCACTATATCTGGTCTCACACAGAACTTGAAACTGCTATTATTTTAGTAAATATAAACCGCTAAATACCTTTTCTCATCAGCAGTTAGAGCAGTCCTGTGCCTTCTATCTGTGTCCAACCCAGCACTAGCTAAAGCTTGCAGGAGTTTCCTTTCTGCTCTAGGAGGATGGAAATCCCCTGACCTCTGTCTGGGCAGTGCTGATTGGCCCTGTGCTGATCACATACACTTTCCCAAGAAAAAAAAAAAAACCTCTCTAGCAATATACACCAAACTGAGCATGTGCGTGCCTACGTTTCAGTCTGGAGATAAGTGGTGGTCGCTTGAAAAAGGGGAGGAACAGAGACGAAAGGCTCAAACAACCTTTTTTACACAATGCAGAGGATTAACCCCTTAGGTTCCACCGTGAGTATAGCAAGCAAGCTTTACTGCATATACAGACTGATTTTACTGTTGTGGGTTTAGTAACACTTTAAGGTGGTTTCTTCATTCCAGATCAGTGAGGATTTTGTCCTGACCCTCCTTCTACCCCCCACTCTAAAACACACCAAGCAAGCTTTTCCTGCACTGCTTAGATGTTGGCAGGGCTGTCAGGGTAGTTATGGCTTCTATTTGCAAGATTGAGTCCTTTTTCCCTTCCCTACAGGCTCTTGTAGAGCACATCCCGTCTCATGCTTAACCATTGCTGGGTAGATGAGACAACTTTCCCTATCCCTATTCTCTAGAACTCGCTCCACTCGATCATTTGGTGTCTCTTCGGCTTGCCAGCATCTAGCATTTGTATGTTAGATTTGCAAGACAGCCACATGGTCCTCTAAAATAAAGGTTACACATCGTCTAAGTTTTAACAGATGGACGTTTAGGCCTCAGCTGGTATGAACTTAAGGCACAATGGTCTCCATTCATGAAGCAGTATCCACTTTAAGTGGTAAATGTGGTAAAATATGGCTTAAAGTCGTACTAAACCACAGGAAAGTAAAAAAAAATCCCCTGCAAGGTAATGTCATAATGTGCTAGTATGTATTGCATTATGTAAAACTTACCTTAAAACGAAGCCCTCCAGTGGCGTACTGTCACCGCTAGAGGCTTCCATCTTCACCCATCTTCCTTCCGGGTCCACAAGCTCCTGCTGTCTGAGAGGCCAGGCCACGATGATGTCACTCCCGCCCATGTGTGCGGGAGTCCTGGGCCATGGAACACAGCTCTGAAGGATATGCCGTTCCTTCACAGCGCATGCATCAGCTTAAAAAAAGTGAGAATATCTCCTAAATGGTGCACGTTTAGGAGATATTCATTTTACCTACAGGTAAGCTTTATTATAAGCTCCCCTGTAGGTAAAGAAAAAAAAAAAAGTTTACTACCACTTTAATGTTTTTCAAAAAATACTTTGACATTTTCTACCGCAAGCGTTATTTTTCTGAAACGTGTGGTATTTATCTCATGAAACCATGCAGTAGCTTATCTCATGCAATATCCAGTGGGATGGATACAGTGGGATTAGAATCTGTGTAAGATTTTATTGCTAATAAAGAGGTACAATGGTTTAAACCGTAGAAATATGCCAACTCATTAGGTCAGTGCAGTCCCTGCAGCATATGTCTTAATACAAAAGATAAAAGGTGACTGGAATATCAGTTGTAGGGAAGCCGCTTTCATAGGACACACATGGTTTATCAAAAACAACTGTTTTTCACTCCATAAGATGCACTTTTTTCCCACAAAAAATGGAGGAAATGATGTGCATCTTATGGAGTGGCTGGCCCGGTATTTCAGCCGCTGCCATGTTTGAATACTGGGCCGGCTGCTCAGCTCTACTGTGCAGAAGAACCTGCTCCTCTGTCCTACCTGTTCCTCGGTCCAGTGGTGTCCTGCTTTCACCGGCCATCTTCTCTCCCTGGCACCAGCATCTTCAGTGTGGGCACTCAGCTGTGACAGCTTGCGGCTTCACAGCTGGGTGCCCACTGCGCATGCGTGAGAAGCGCTGTGCTTTGTAAATGGCCACCTGTAGTCTTCTGGGACCTGTCGTGTCCCACAAGACTACGGGGAGAACAACTATGCGGAAGTGGGAGCAGGTACCTCTCAAATTCTGGTACCTGCCCCTCCTCCCCGCTCGCTAAAAGTCTGCAGTCTCTGGCCATCTCCTGTAGTACATCTGCAGTCTCTGGCCATCTGCTGTACTATATCCTCAGTCTCTGGTCATCTCCTGTAGTATGTCCGCAATCTCTGGTCATCTCCCATACTGTGTCTGCAGTCTTGCGGCTTCACAGCTGGGTGCCCACTGAGCATGCGTGAGAAGCGCTGTGCTTTGTAAATGGCCACCTGTAGTCTTCTGGGACCTGTTGTGTCCCACAAGACTACGGGGAGGAGGACAACTATGCGGAAGTGGGAGCGGGTACCTCTAAAATTCTAGTACCCGCCCCCCCTCCCCGCTCGCTAAAGGTCTGCAGTCTCTGGTCATATCCTGTAGTACATCTGCAGTCTGGTCATCTGCTGTACTATATCCTCAGTCTCTGGTCATCTCCTGTAGTATGTCCGCAGTCTCTGGTCATCTCCCGTACTGTGTCTGCAGTCTCTGGTCATCTCCCGGTCTGTGACCGCAGTCTCTGGTCATTTCCCATACTATGTCTTCAGTCCATTGGTTCAGAATATTTTTTTTCTTGTTTTCCTCCTCTAAAATCTAGGTGTGTGTTATGATCAGGTGCATCTTATGGAGCGAAAAATATGGTAAGTATGAGAGGGGAATACATCTCCAAGATCTCTGGTTTCCAATAGGAAGCAATTCGCTCATTGGTAGCTCTGGAGGAGGAGGCATCTAGATTAGAGGTGGCATATGTTGCCACTCCAGATCAGCCCCAGTATTCAGCCTAGTGTCAGGCCTTGCACCAATTATCTATTTGTAGAATTGAATAAACCAAAAATGCCGTGCTTCATTCTGCTCAACGAGTTTTTGAGTATGGGGATAAAAATGGAAGGTTGCTTGCCTGGTTAGCTGGAGCCCAGACCCTAATGATACCAACTGGTTCTATCAACGATGCAGGGGGTCAGCTGCTTTTTTCACCGGACCTTATTAATACCCGCTTTCTGGAATTTTATAGGGAACTCTACTCTTCTCAGGTGACTTTTCTGACATATGTACTTTTCGGGATACCTTTCCCCTTCCCTGGCTAGCTGATTCGGACAGGGATGCTTTGAAAGCAGATATATCACTTGAGGAAGTGCAGGAGGCATTTGGGGCAGTTGCAGAGTGGCAAGACCCCAGGGGCAGATGACCTCCTGTCTGAATTTTACTCCTAATTTGTAGAACTGTTGGCTCCTAGGCTGCTAGCTCTATTCTCAGATGTTTCCTCTCGAGTCACTTCCTGAATCTATGGAGGTAATCATAGTGTTGATTCCTAAGTCTGGTAAGGACCAACAGGATTGTGCTTCTTATTGACCTATCTCCCTATTGAATGTTGACCTAAAATATTCGCTAAGGTGCTAGCCAGTCACCTGTCCAAGGTGATTGAGGACCTTATTGATGTGGACCAAACAAATTTTATTGTGGGCAAGGGAACAGACATTAATTTAGACACCTTTTCCTGAATCTTTCTATACCTGATGTTAATTCTGGTACCAGGGTTGTTGCATCCCTTGATGCCAAAAAGGCATTTGACTTGGTGGAGTGGACCTATCTTTGGGAATTCCTCAGCCGATCATTGGCACTAAAGTGTTCCGTGAAATATCCGTGCATGCAACTCCGTGATAAGGGATTGCTGTATGAATGCACTCACCAGAAGTGCAATCAAATTGTGCATAGAATCATATCCAAGAACTCCACGGTGAACATCTGGGCACAGGAAAGGAACTCCACTGGATTAATGACAGCACACAGGAAAAGACCCGAGGCATCAGTCACTGGATCCTCAGCATACAGGGATAGCTCCACTTGTCCCTCTCCACCATGGATAAATCTCATCAAAAAGGATGTATTCCACCTTAAAGGAAATGGCTCGTATATACAAGCCACAACGGGAGTATTGATAGTGTAGTATTTTATTATTAAAATGGAACATCCACGTGGATACAGAGTATTGGCAGCAGCACACTTACAAAGATGGCCGCCGGCCTTCCATGTGCCTCTGTAGCGTGAAGTCAGTACTTCAAGGCTCCTCCCTGCTGCGTTTCGTGCTCATGCACATTGTCAAAGAAGTCTTTTGACAACGTGCATGCACACAAAACACGTCCGATGGAGCCTTAAATGATAGAAACAGAATATCAACCAAAAATCCAGAAATAACACATGATACAAATGTTATACATTGAGTTGCAGTTCAGTGAGTAAAATAAATATTTGATCCCCAACAAAACATGACTTCATACTTGGTGGAGAAACCCTTGTTGGCAAGCACAGAGGTAAGACGTTTCTTGTAGTTAGTTACCAGGTTTGCACACATCTCAGGAGAGATTTTGATCCACTCTTCTTTACAGATCTTCTCTAAATCCTTAAGGTTTCTTGGCTGTCACTTGGCAACTTGAAGTTTCAGCTCCCTTCATAAATTTTCTATAGAATTAAGGTCCAGAGACTGGCTAGGCCTCTCCATGACCTTAACATGCTTTTTCTTGAGCCACTCCTTTCTTGAGGTATGTTTTGGGTCATTGTCATGCTGGAAGACCCATCCACGACCCATCTTCAGTGTTCTAGCTGAGGGAAGAAGGTTCTCATCCAAGATTTTACACTATATGGCCCCATCCATTGGCCCTCAATGCGGTAAAGCCAGCCTCTACCTTTAGCAGAGAAACAGCCCCAAAGCATAATGTTTCCACCTCTGTGTTTGACTGTAGGGTTGGTGTTCTTAGGGTCATAGTCAGCATTTTTCTTCCTCTAAACATGGCAAGTCAAGTTAATGCCAAAGGGCTTAATTTTGGTCTCATCTGACCACAGCATTTTCTCCCAATCCTTCTCTGAATCATTTAGATGTTCATTGGCAAACTTCAGACGGGTCTGTACATGTGCCTTCTTGAAGAGGGGGACCTTGCGGGTGCTGCAGGATTTCATTGTGTTAGCAATGGTTTGTTTGGTGATTGTGGTCCCAACTGCCTTGAGATCATTCACAAGCTCCTCCGGTGTAGTTCTGGGCTGATTCCTCACTTTCCTCATGATCATCTTTACCCTTTATCTTGAGGCAAAATCTTGCATGGAACGCCAGACTGAGGGTGATTGATGGTTAGTTTGTATTTCTTCCATTTGTGAAAAATCGCTCCAACAGTTATCTCCTCACCAAGCTTCTTGCTGATGGTCTTGTAGCCTATTCCAGCCTTGTGCAGGTCTACAATCTTGTCCCTGATGTCCTTTGACAGCTCTTTGGTTTTGCCCATAATGATGGTGAGGTTTGAATGGAAGAAAGAGATTCTGCGGACAGGTGTCTTTTATACACAACGAGTTGACATTAGGAGCACCTTCTTACACTGACAGGACTAATCTGTGCACCACATGAGCACACAACCAGTCTGTGGGAGCCAGAATTGGTTGGTAGGGGATCAAATACTTATTTTACTTGCTCAACTACAACTCAATTTATAACATTTGTATCATGTGTTTTCCTGGAGTTTTGGTTGATATTCTTTCTCAATCATTTAAGATACACCTGATATATACATGATAAAAATTATAGACCCTTCAAATATAATTATTTTCTCTTGATGGTAATAAATACAAAACATAATCAAAACTGATGAACCGATGTCCAAATATACTAATATACAAAAAAAACAATACCCTATCTCTTTACACCTAAAAGTCACACTTTCACCCTTGAAAGTCAAAAATAAATAATAAAACCCTCTTATTGTCCGTGAATCTTCCCAATTCTTTTTCTTCAATGTAATTATCCAAAAAGTATGGCCGATTTCCACCGTGTACCTCCAAAAAAAAATAAAAGACTGGATAGTGTATTATCCTCAATATTCAAATAATGAAAAACATATATACATAAATTGCCAATATGTGAAAAACTATGAAACACGTGACAAAGTGAAACACCCCGTGAACACTTCTATGTGACTAGAGTAAATACCTGATAAATAATCAAAAGCGTTTAGGATAATAGTCCAATATGCCAAAAATTTCTCCAAAATTATCCCACAATCGCTATGCAATATACCGGACTATCCCATGTTCTCAAGCATGATGTGAGGAAACACTTCTCAAGGCCGTCCATATATTACCACTCAGAAGGAAAGAGAGGACTATATATTGTAGTATTCAGGTTAAATAAACCGAGGCTTTAATAAATATGCTTACATCAGAATAGAAATAAAATCGCATGTATTCCCATATGACAGCATCTCTCAAGCAGCTTCCAAGAATGCTTATATCGATATCACCTTAGTTAAGATAGCCGCTCCACTACTTCCAGTCAATGTGTAACGTCCGACGTCACGTCCCTTGATGCGTTTCGTCACCTCCTGACTTCATGCCGAAACGTGTCAAGGGATTCCCTTAATTTGCGGGGATTTCCTCTCACTTCCTGTTTTGGCAATGGGACAGGAAGTTAAGGTTAATCTCCCCAGTGGGACACAGAGTGCAAAAAAAAAACATGTCATGGGTTCTAACCCTCCCTAAAAAAGGTTTTCCCATAAGTTACACTTTCAGCCTTTCTCAACCTTTTCAACATAGAGGAACACTTGAAATAACTTTCCATTCTCAGAAAACCCCTGCTAAAAATTGCTATATCTATAACTCATGATACATTAGTGTGATGGTCAGTAGGAAGAATGCTCCTTACACTAAAAATCAATGACACCAGTGGGAAGGTAAAATGTGAAAAAGAAAATCCCCACTATATACTGTATAACATATGTTTTAACAAGGGATTAGACCATTGTGCTATACATGTACATTGTATTACAGTCATGGCCAAAAATATTGGCACCCATGCATTTCTGTCAGATAATGCACCACTTCGCCCAGAAAATGTTGTAATTACAAATGTTTAGGCATTCTCATGTTTATTTCTTTTATTTGTATTGGTATGACACAAAAAAGTGAAGAAACAAAAAGCCAAATGGAATGTGTCAAATTTAGCCTTTTGTTTCTCCACTTTTTTTTTGGATAGAGTAAGGGAGGGTTATAACCCCTTTAAGGTTTTTTTGCCATCTGTGTAGGTGTTGTGGAGATTTGCTTTCATTTTCTGTCCCATAGCAAAAACAGGAATTGAGAAGAAATCCTGACAAATTAAAGGAATCCTTTGGGCCCCCCCAGGTCACCAGAACCAGTGTTCCCATTGGAAAAGTTCCCCTTTTGTTACTGTTCTGGGAACAGCCCAAACTTTGGGATTTTCTTTAAATTCAATGATAATGGTAATGTAACGTACCTGGTGGTAGAACCTGAAGTGCAGAGGAAGGCCTCCCTTACAGCTGTGGCTCAGGGGCCCTGGTAAAGTAACAGGGAGCGCTGGAGCACAGAGGTGCACGAATGCCTGGTAGGACTTCTGCAGATGGATGTTGACATGCGTCAGCAATGCAGGAACAGCTGGTGGATGGCACACTGGCATAAGTGCAGGAGCAGCTGGTGGATGGCACATTGGCAGAAGTGCAGGAGCAGCTGGCAGATGACACTCTGGCAAAGGTGCAGGAGCCGGATACTGGCAAGG